CCTTTGTGAATTTTTGTAACTGCTGGCACGGTGACGCCGGGGCTGTCGCCTGTTCCCACTGGCGCACCGCGGCCTTCCCACCCCGCGAGGAAGCGCCTCAGCAGGCCCCGGGCAGCGGCGCCCAGCGCGGGAAAGCCCGTCACGAACCTGCCGCGGCAGAGGCGGGACGTGAGGGAGCCGGGAGCCCGGCAGAAAAGACTTTGGCTTTCTTTCTTACTGGAAATGTTGCTAATGGTCCTTTTTGTTCCTTTCGGTTCAGATGCAGATTTCCAGAGGTCTTGTGTTTGAAATGGCTTCACCCCCACTGAATTGCAGTAATTCCACCCACATGCCCCAAGGACAGGCCTCTGGGTCATGCAAAGCGCCAGCACCCTGCGGCTCACCCTCTGGGCAGGAAACCTTTCTGTGTCAGATTTGCTTGGTAATTGCGTTTTCTGAAGTTGTAATGCACTGCCTCATCCCTCTTTAAAGCTTTGGCAGAGTACTGACTTCCATAAGTCCCTGACCTAATTAGTCATGACAGCTGTTTGTTTAGCAGGGCCCCTAATGCGACCAGAACTACCCTTCTGAGACCATCTTTTCAAATACAGGGTTTCTTCAGATCTGAAGAAATACCGTCAGAAAATCAGCCTTCTATTACAGACTTTATCATGCTTGTGCTAGTCATACTGGATATTTGGGAGGATTTTTATTCAGGACTCCTTAAACTTGCGGATTGAGCTGTTCTGTGTCAAGCAGGGGATTAAAACAATCTCCTTACAACTGAGCAGCATTATTCTGCAAGCACAAACTGCATCTAAGATGTGTGTTTCTTTGCAGCCAAGCTGAACATTCCCTTCAAAAGCCTTTCTCTTTCCCGTAGCACAGCAGTGCGCACACATGAGGTAAGCTTTTGTGGTAAGTTTTCCAGTTTTTTTTTTTATTGCTTCTATTTAAGAAGGCCATGTTATGCTTGCAAATCTGTGGATTCTTTACCTTCTGTAGTGGAGCAGAGGCCTGAGTTCATCTGAAAGCTGAACTTTCAGAAAGCATGAAACACTGCGAAGGCAGCTAGTGTGTGTATGCTAATATTGGTAACTTAGTTCAGAGCATGTTTGTACTTTCCAAGTGACTTGTCTACATACCACTGTGGTCCATGGTTCACAGTACAGACTGATCTCAGAGCACACAAACTTGTTTCTCTTTGGATGAGACGGAACCGGAACACGTGCTTCAGCAGTGTACCTGGTGTGCTGCAGCTGCTAACACATGTTCAGTCCATGGGGCCAGACTGGAGCTGATCTGAAGTAACTCCCAGACATGTAGTGTGTGGGTGCTGGGTTCTCAGCACTCACTGTTTCACTGTATAAATCTGCTCTTACTGGGTCATCCCACTTGTCACATTCTATCTATTCTATCTATGCATGCCCGTTTAGCTTTGGAGAGAGAAGGAAGTTCTGTTTCTAATTCAGAGACGCGGAGGATCCTTGAAAAGTGTTTTCACTCGCAGGTAGAAGAAAAAGCCATCTTAAATCTTCCAAAATGTAAAATGTTTGAGGAAGATGAATGCTAGGAAAATCCTCACTCCTCAGCACTTACATTGCTGGATGAAAGATGAGTGTCTATGTGAAGTAAACGGGATTATGCCAGAAGAAGAAAACATACCTTCCGAGTTTGCGCTTGGTGTGCTTTGTGCTTTTTTAGCCACAAGTTGGGGTGATTACCCCACCACTGGGTTTGCACATGGACAGGATCTGTTTAAGGTGCCACATTTCCCTGTGTTTGACATGTGGAGGAGTCTGATTCTGATTGTTTTATTGTCTTTGATTCTTAGAAGTATACCTTTCAAACAGAAGTTTCACTGGGCCTTTTCTTCTTTCTGAGTTCTCGTCCCCTTGAACCATTATATCAGCAACCTTGTAAATAATAGAGCTTCCATCAGTTTCTGTGCATTCATTTCTTCGCAGCTTATTCTTTGCCATGTATTCCAAGTAATGCAACTCATTTCTTCACTTTCCATCTCCTTTCTTTGTTTTTTGGTGGTTTGTTTTTTTTTGTTTTTTTGGTTTTTTTTTTTGTTTTGTTTTTTTTTACTAGCAGCCACAGCAAAGAAATGTTATTTGACCTCAGCTTGCCACAAGTTCCCATTCTTGTCCTTCAGGTCACGTCTTATCTATTTCATGGAGGGAAGCCTCTGAAACACATTAGGAAAAATTCTGAAACCTTGAGCTTGAGTTTTCCACAGCAGTCGAAGATAACTGAGTACAAAACTTACCTTAACCCAGAAAACACAAGCGTAGGTATGCGTATTTTTCTCTAGGCACACACATATAGGTGTATCTGTTTATCTGTGTAAGATACACTTGTACATGCGCACTCATACAGTTTGCCTGTTGGCGTTAATTGTGTTAGCTTTCTAGTGAGGCTGTGTCTAGGGACATGCTATTCTATGTGTGCAGGAAGAACACCAGTTCAGAAACTGTTTGGCTGCTGGAAAGTGTTATTCCTGAAAATCACAAGTGTTGGCCCATGAGCACACCCAGTAGCCATGAGTGTGCATATTTTCAAAG